AACCTAACCTAACCTAACCTAACCTAACCTAACCTAACCTAACCTAACCTAACCTAACCTAACCTAACCTAACCTAACCTAACCTAAGCTAAACTAACCTAACGTAAAATAAACCTAACCTAACCTAACCCAACCTAACCTAAACTAACCTAACCGAACCTAACCTAACCGAACCTAACCTAACCTAAACTAACCTAACCCAACCTAACGTAAAATAAACCCAACCTAACCTAACAAATATTCTACACGCAGCTGCAATTTCCAAAGCAACGCGCTGTGTTCACAATAGCGCGTGAGATGGTTCAGTAGCTTCTTTGTTTCTTACTGGCTGAGGTTGTCCATCATCTTGTAGTCGCCGCCGGAAGTGTTTATTTTGGAGATGAGGCCGGGCTGCAGCTTGTTCATCAGTTTGCAGAGGATGACGCCATTTCTCAGGACTTCCTCAAACGGCGTTCCGGGTGGGAAGCGCTCGCCCACGACGGCCTCGATCCATGCCTGAGCCTGAGCTTCCTGCTCGGGTTCGCGCTTTCCTGCAACCTGGAAACAAAAAAAACATGAATTTCGTGAAATTAAAAACGAGCTAAGTCGTGACTGACCTAAAATGCTCCAAGGCCGTTCAAGTAGGAAGTTTATGTTCAGATCGTATTTGTCTGTGTGTCCGTCCGCATGTTTCAAATACCAGATTACCGATTGGATTTGTATTAAATTTTCCGACGTTCTTCTGTACAAAATTTGTCGAGGGCGCTTAATTTAGAATTATGGCCTAGTGCAGGGGTTCTCACCCTTTCTCGCTGGCTCTAATTTAACACATCAAATGTACAACTAACCAAATGCGTTCAGGGAAAACTTATTTATCTTAATATTATCTTTTGATTTTCGTACCACTCAACATTGGCTCCTATCACCAGTGGTACGCGTACGATAGGTTGAGAAACGCCGGCCTAGTGGATTAATATAACGCATATTTTATACGAAATTTATATAATAAGTAGGCCTAGTGGATTAATATAACGCATATTGTATACGAAATTTATATAATAAGCCTGCAGAATTTTATAATTTTAAAAAGGCTGGTAGTAACAAAGGATAATTCATACTTTAAAGTCGCTAATAATCTTTTATAATCCCACTAAGACCCAATCGTCACTTTAATTATTTTTTACGTAATTGATAAGCTTAGGCGTATTTAAAGAACAGGCTATACTAAACCGCTTACAAATGATGCAAATTCTTATAAGGAAATCGAAGTTACAACACTACTAGTGAATACATCATGACGACATTGGAAGAGAATTGACAAGATGCCCAGAGACTGCATACATCCATTTATTTTCCATGGAGCGGAACATTTTCAGGATCATCGCCAATAGCAGTAGGCGGACATCAGAGGAGGCACGCAGACACGCCGCACGGGGGCGAAAACTAATTACATGCACAGACTGGCAGGAGAAATTCGATCTCTAAACCTTCTCTGTGCCCCCTAAATTTGTTAGGTTATAGTCTGCCAGAAATTTACACAGGATGTTTAGAACATTTCTATCGTATTTGTCTCTCAAACAAAGTCGAAACCTTGTGAGGTTAGGTTTCCGCGACGGTGAAAAGGAGGGTTATGGACTTCTGGGTTACGTAACGATGTATAAGATCTCACGGGATCATAAACCAAAATACCACAATTCGAAAAAAATAAAAAACTCAAGTACGTTACACAAAAACTTTATCTGACGTACTATAATTTTTGGCAACATGGAGAACACACATAAACTACTACATTTATACGCCAAATCTCAATGACGTAAGGCAACGAATTTGCTAGATTGCACGGTCGCAGTGCCAGAAGTGGTCCACACCGCTGAGTGCACCAACAGAAATGTCCTTCCTTTCTAGTCTGTTTGGCGACATTAGTCTCACATAACATTTTCCAGTTGCATTTAAATATATATTTACTCTCATGTGCGTTATATATATATATATATATATATATACAGGGAGAGACAGAAGTATGTTTACGAAACTTCGTGTGCGTGTTCCAGGATCAAAAATAAGGAAAACATTTCCTATGAGCGTGTGGTCGCAAAATTTCTTTTTCAAAATAATAACCAAAGAATGAGGAGAAAATCTAAATCAGTAAATATACTCATATATATTATTATTATATTATTTAGTGTTCTGTCTGACGACAGGTCCATATGAACAGGATCCTTCGATCCTTTTCTCGGACTGGGACCTGTTCATATACGTTCTTGGCAGATGATCCAGAAGTGGTTTGCCATTGCCTTCTTCTGTGTGTGAATGGAGTAATTGTTGGGATGCCACGGAGAAACCGGGGAAGAAGCCCCCGGAGGAAAACTCCGTGTTGCCTAGACCACGGCCTTGCCCAACACAAGTTATAAATTCGGGCACCGCCGGGAATCGAACCCGAGACCCCCCCAGGATTACAAGGCCAGCGTTCTAACCGCTAGACCATAAATTATGTCACATTGATAAATGTACATACAGTGCACTTATGTAATTAATTACGAAATTATCATGTTGGCTCTGTACACAAAGTAAATTGTTCAAATAGAAATGCCCAGACCACAACGGGAATTATTACGAGACGCGGACAACCTCCTCGTTGGTACTGTGACCCTGTGATAGATCATCGCGGGAGTGTTGGCCGGTCCGTATCTGGTATCTGAGTGGTCGGGAGTAGTCCGACGCAACCAACAGGTGCGCAGGCGATGGAAAGTAGGCGGGTCGGACGGGACAGAACGCCTACCAGCTGTCCGGAAAATGGAGCCAGAGATATTACTAATCACTTGCATGATATGGAGAACTCTTTCAGAAAATGTTTAATGACATGAAAACATCACAGGCACTGTCAGCTGTTTTGAAGAGAAGAAATACAGTTAAAATCCCATGCCATAATGTAATTTAACTCAATATTTATTTATTTTTAACAAGACTGGAAAATATTATACTTTGCTCAGTTTATCTACGTAATGAAGAGATTTAATTTCACAGTTCTCTTGCCTCGTTCTGACCAAGTTTTACACTCCACCTTACTTACTGTAGGAACACATAAAAGGGCCTACATTACATGTCATTAAGAACGCGAGTCAATACAAAATCACATTTTTAAAACGTACTGAGAACAAAATCTGGATTTGAGACAATTCGTAATATTTTCCCACGTAATTAATAGGATGATTAATAAAGAAGGGTAAGATAAAACGGGCATGCAGCACGCATACGTGAACAATAAAAGCGTACATTTCGCGTGGAAAACCTTAACTGGAAGCTACGTCTAGGGAGGCAATTTGAAAATGAGCGAGAGATTGCTGAAACGGACATCAAAAAAATCGGGCGTGGACACGCGAACTGAGCTGAGCTGGTCCGGGAAAGAATTCGACCAAAACAATGGGATTTTTTACGTTGTTTATATAAGTTAATGGGCAAACTCCGTTTATCTAAACGGAGCCCAGGAATACGAAACTAGTTCTGATTCGCGATTGACGCTATTAAATCCAAACCTACGTTTAATTTGACTTCACAGGAATTTATTATACACCCACCTGAAGTCCCCTTTTTCCAACAGGGTCGAAGCCTGGATGTTATCCTTGTTAGCCCGGCTAACACTTTGAAAGACGGAAAATAGAAAGTCTTGCTTATTACTTTCGTGTTTTAGTGTTAATCTACGCAGCAGAACCGATCAGACGAGATATATCTTTAGCCATCTCCAGTCAGTCTGGCGTTGTTAGCCTAAAATATCTGGCTAACAACGCCTGCCCGGCTGGAACTGGCTAACGATGCACTTTATTCGATCTGTTCTGCTGTATTCCAGTCCAGGGATTTTAGTTATATCAAATCTAAAACTTCTTCACGATGGTGAAGAGTCAATTGAATAAAAATTTTCTTGGATATTATCCATCGTCTAGTAAATATATCTCCGGAGATAGGGATTAGCTCTATCTAGTGGGCCCAACTGTGTAGGAACCTGAAGACGGAGATAGAGTACCATCTCCGAAACGTCGTTTTTTACGTTTATATCCAAGAAAATTTTTATTCAATTGATTTTAGTTTTACTTTTTCAAAGTGTTAGCCGGGCTAACACGGATATAACCTGCGTTCCAACACAAATAACTTAAATTATATTATTATGATAGCAAAGCTAATTAATAATTACCTTTATTGTGTTATCCTAGTTCTAAGAAGACTAGATTCAGGTCCCTTTCTTTATATCACAAAATGGAGTCCATGTAGCAGACACCGAAAGGAGCAATGACGTGTTTTGAAGATGGGGAGTCATAAACGAATGATTACACACGAAAAAAAGATGGATGAAATGGTCTAGAGAACGAAGAAAATTATATTTAGGAACATCATCCGTCTCTCTCCTGCATTCTGTCCATCATTCATTTCCATGGGTTTTTCCCGAAACTCTACCGCAATTTCTTCTTACTCTGGTAAGGTTACAGGATCGCCGTGTGACGGCGCGGAGGAGAGAAACGGAGTCTGGGAGGGAGAGAGAGAAGGGTAATGTGTATTTTTCCAGAGCGATGCCAGAAGCGTACAGAAAAAGCTTGGTTGGGTGTGACCCGCTGTCAGTCGGGCGGAGGACGTCAAGGTGCTTCGTTCTCTGTAGATTCCGCTTTGGTGCAGAAGAGACCTGGACGCTTGTTGGACAACAAAATGCCGGTAAGGCACTTTGTGGGACACCTACCCTAGTCGTGGCCTTCGCACAGTGAGAAAACCAACATTTCGCACTTTTAATAAACATTCCTTGTCCACTGCGGTTACATCCACAGTAGTTTATTCGTTTCAGTAGTAAGAAATCTATTCACTCTTCTGAGATTCTTAGAGTTACGGCCTATGCGTTTGAAACTAAATATTTTTAACAGAAGTTACTTCTGTTAACGTGAATCCAGTCTTTACAGACACACATTAACACAAATACATAATATTACCGCTTGAACAGTTGTATGCAAGATGTAAATATTTGTACAGTTCAGTACCTCGATGAGCACAGCTATTCATGAAAAACTACTAGTCGCGTAGCTAGTAAAGAAATTTTCCTCTCAGCATAGAACCTGAATGTTTATTACTGTATTCGCAAGAGACCGCGATTCGATAGCCCTGAATCGGATGAATTCACTGTGACTGTGATAAACTGGTCCATATAGCCCATATCAATTTAGTATTAACAAAAAATAGACGACCGGATTTATGCAGATTTTTTGATATTAATTCTTAAATTCGGTCACACCCAGTTTCTCTGCTAACTATGTTTTCGGCAGTCTGGACCATACGCTGTAAACACGTGCGTAAGAAAATATGCGATGTTGGAATAACAAGAGTTGGTTCTTCGTTGAGTTAATTTAGTTGTTTAAATGTCTCAGAATGTATTATTATTTAATGTAGGCATCTTGCTATCAAGCACCATCGTGTTATCACAGTGCGTCTGTAAGTTCGCTGAGGAAGGTTGTATTTTGCAGACAAAAGTGCAACCTTTACGATAAACTGAGAATGTCTCTAGAAAACTGAACCAAAAAACACATTGTGTCAGCGGTTATATCGTTTAATAAGCCACTTCGTTCTTCCTATTATCATGACAGAACACTTCGTTGGATTTGTCAATTAACTATGCAGGCTTATCCATACTTAAATTCGCATAATTTGAGTAACATAAAAAATTTAAGGTTCTTGAATACTTACACAAACAGTAATTTAAAACTGCACCTTCAGTATTAAAATTTAGTGTAGCAATTCGCATTTAACAGGTTCTGAAATTCTAATAAAACGAAGTTCAGCACTAGTTGGGAAGGAACACAGGACTTTTCCATGAACATATTTAAATAATAATGTCGTCCTCTCATCTATCTCTGTCTCACAGAGACTCATTACTCTCCCATCTAGCAAAAATCTTCTTGATTATCAAAGTTTTGCCATAAACCTGTCCCTCATTATTCAAATGAGCCAAAAATCAAGAAGCCTTCAGAAGAATGTAGTTATTGAAGATATATCTCACACTAACATTGCACAGTCTTTTGATAAGATTAGCATATCGGTTGCTAGCCCTGAAAGTATTAAATCTATGTCTTATGGTGAGATAAAAGTTTAAGTTAGAACATTACAAATGTTGCTTTATTTCTTACGTATTTTAAAGTGTCATTAAGAGGCCTACGCATGAGTAGTCGCCAAACGAAGCAGCCAGAAACCATCGCCTCCTGATTCATCTGCACGTAGGCACATGCAGCCAAAGTTCGTTCTAGCTTTGTATTAAGCAAACTGTATTTGAAAGAACAGCAGAGCAGCTACCAAGATTTCCCGTGTTTAACTATTCAATATTTATAGTCCGAAAGGTTTACAATATGGCGTTTCTGTTGGCCCGACCTCACAGACTGTCTACAGTTTGCTTACATTACTATTTCACATTTTATTTTCATCTGAGTAGAACATCAAATGTAAAATTTGAAAAAGTGCCAAGACAGCAAAAGCTTACTGTGTTTGCATCCTGCAGACAAGTTTCCATTCAGCTACAGGGTGGTTAACCTCAATGGAGGTCAGTAAATCAAGATGACGGCCTCTAAAGAAGCTATTAGTGTGGCGAGTGGGAACCTTAACATGTGAATCGAGCGTGGTTTTACTTCGAAGATAATATCGTGTACAGGCCCTAGGTATTTATTCCAAATTACCAATATTCGTCATGAGGAAAATTAAGTTCCGACGATGGTCACTCTGGCAGCAAGAAATGCAAAGAGGCTATGGTGGCGTATACGGTGGGGTTTGGGGTCAGGCTGAGGGTATTATGTGCATTCATTTGGCAGGAATCTGGCCTAATATACAAATAATAATAATCTATCAGGCACGGAGTTAGGTCACTTGTCCCGTTCCAGCCGAAGGCATTAGGATGTATCTCAAAGTTTCACGAGCTTCTGACTCGGAAAGCACAAAGCAGTGTCTCAGATGCTGTTCCAGCAGTCGCCTCGGCGTAACTTTGTTTCTGTAATTAGTGTGTGCCAGCTGTTTGGCACCGCGACGCTTTTAGACTTGACACGCCAAGTGTGTCGCACCGACGCACTGTTGACAGGTGCTCACCCGCGGTGGAGCGGATTCAAGAGACGAAGCATGATTGGGGCGAAGCCGTCCCAGAGAACGTGGGCCTGTAGGATCAAATACGTTTTTATTTTTGTTCGACACAGGTACTTTCAAATGTGGAATGCAGGCCTACCGAAATACGAGATCGTACCGAAAAGCGGTAACTTACGTGACTTATTTCCTTGAACCACCAGGTTCAAATCCATCTCAGGGCAAATATAGTAATGAATTTATCCCAGTTTTACTGTACTCTTCCGGGCGTGTAGATAAAATAGGCCAGGATCCGAGTTTCTGAGTTTAACCAAATCGATAAAGTTGATGAAGCTTCGATATCAGTTTTCATGAAAATCTATAAAGATCTTCTCAGGATGTTACATGCAGACAGACATAGCGAAGCTTTTAGACAACTTTTATTTGGGAACTAAATTGAAAAGAAGAAATGAGAAACGAAGATAAGTGAGAAAATAATACAAATAAAGGAAGAAAAGTAAGAGAAGGTACAGATTAAATAAGAAAGAAGTAATGGAAAGATAGTTTTATTTGGGAACTAAATTGAAAAGAATAAATGAGAAAGAAGTAATGGAAAGATAAAAGATGCGAAAATGAAATATTTAATAGGGGTCATTTTTATAGAATATAAATATAATTTTATTTTCAAGAAACCAGCTTTTTTAAAAATTCAGGTCTACTTAGTTTTTCGGGGTTTAACACTGCTCAGAGCTGCATGTAAAAGTATACGTCTACAGCTAGCTGAGCTGTTATAAGATGGCTAAGTAACCCATACTTTTGGAATGTACAAGAGCGTTTGAAGTTTAATTAAAATTCCTGTATCTGGGATGTACAAGGCTCTAACATGGATATGTTAAATGATAGGTAAGATTAAAACTTGGTACAGTCAGCACAAAAATGCTGTAGTTTCCGATTTTTGGTACTGAGTCAAATGAATCCGAGTCGTAACATTTTATAACAACAAAAGTATTTTGGGAAATTAAACAAATGTTATAGCAGATGTATATGCAGCATCCAGCCAGAGACGAAACAGTTGCTTTGCTTTGGCCGAGGAAATTAAACCTTCTTAATCTTGCATCTGTGCCAGAAAGCGCTGTGCTATTTTTGGGCCCCTATGAGACACCCACCCCAATCAACAGACAGTCAGGGAAGGGGCAAAGGCTTAGAAATGCCTGCATTTTGTGAGCATAAAATTTTGTAATACGGATAAATACAAGGAACAGGCATGTACAATTTTCCGAGCCATTTCTAAGCAAATGGAAGCCCTGCCAAATATGTTTTGGGGCATAAAGATCAACAAAGATATACAGGACATGTCAGAGACTGCACCGATGTAAACATAAAATTTGCCAAACAGGACATGGCCTCAAGGGCTGTCCAAAACAGAATATACATTTTGCTTTAATTAAAATATACGTATTTATTTATGTATAAGAAAAGATTATATGTTCGTGTAACATAGTTTTATGCCAACAGATGAATTGTCATGAAACTTCGTATGAACGTCACGTGCACTCCCCTTATTTCCCTAAATGTAGGCAACTGTCACTGGTCGTTGTTCTGAGTCAGATAGATTTAATCATTCTCATGGCCGAATTCTTTACCAAAATTTTATATTTATCTTTTACAAAACTAAGTACGCAACGAATATGTACAAATGGGAGTGGGCTTACCAACATTAGCTTTCAATTACGAGTACCTGCACATTTAGTAACACGAAGTTTTTCATCTGTACGTAAGCTTACTTATATATTTAATAAAATGTATTGAGACAATGCGTGCAAATGAGAAATATAATTTTGGGCAGTAGTAATGATCAGAGCATGCGCAGAGCGTTCTTTCGTTAAGCTGCTAAGACAAACGACGCAGACAAAAGAACATTTTGCAGATCACCGGGTGATGGATGATCTTCATGTAACAATGTTGTGTCCGCAGGCTAGAAATAAGGAACAGGAGGCTGAGGTACTCCAGTGGATCGAGGATGTGACTGGGGAAAAGCTGCCGTCTCAGCCATACGAAGATGTGTTGCGGGATGGGGTCATCCTCTGTAACCTCATAAACAAAATAGCGCCTGGATCTGTCAAAAAGATACAGACCAAGGGTACCAACTTCCAGCTCATGGAAAATATACAAAGGTACTGCCAACACCTACTGCAAAGTGAACTCCTGCCAATATTTGGACGTAAGAAATATAAACTATTTTGGTGGAACCTGGAAAGCGTTCAGGACAAAAGATCAGCTTCACGCTATGGCCGCTTTATCCACAAGTAAATATCTCCCAGTACTCATTACGTAGGCAGAGTTTCGGAGTAAAAAGCCACTGCCTTTGCTGGGAATTGAACCCAGTCGTATAACCCTTTGGGATTTTATCGAATGATATAGAGGCAGATAAAATGTTTTCACTCAAAGTTTACAAGTATGAGAATGTTAAGATGAAGTTTGTGTGTGTTTTTTATGCAGGTTCCAAGCTGCGCTGAAGAAGTACGGTGTGCCAGAGGAGGAGATATTCCAAACAGCTGATTTGTTTGAGAGAAGGAACATCCCTCAAGTCACTCTGTGCCTGTACGCACTCGGCAGACTGGTAAGATTTTCGTATTTATTTTGTATCGTAAGACAGAGGACCCACTATGTGGCAATGACACGGGTCATCCACGACTCTTACGTCACGATGACGCAGACACTCCAGTTGACCAATAGGTAAAAATGTTGTCTCACTTCACTTATGTAACATGAGACTGTTTATTGTGTTTTGGTATAGATTGTCGATGAAAAAATAATTTTAATAATTTTATCCTTACCTATACTACTAGACTACTTCAAAAATAATTTTTTGAACAGTAAAATTAACTCATACACTGACGTTATCTTTTAGATAATCTGATAGTATCTTAGCTGCTTAGACTCGAAGTTTTGATATCATTTTCATAATCCAGAGACAGTTGACTCCAGTCCACAGACCGATATTACGTAAATTATGTTGACCAACGTAACAAAAAGGAACTTTATCTATGTAAGATTTGAGGTTCTGAAAGCGGTAAGTATGAAGATTTCTGTCTTCTGGGTTGTTGTGATTCATCGCCCTGATGACGGAGGCAGTATGACCTCTGAAACGTTGGTTAACATCGACACAGCGCAACAACCCAGAAGACAGAAATCTTCATACTCATCGCCCTGATGACGGAGGCAGTATGACCTCTGAAACGTTGGTTAACATCGACACAGCGCAACAACCCAGAAGACAGAAATCTTCATACTCATCGCCCTGATGACGGAGGCAGTATGACCTCTGAAACGTTGGTTAACATCGACACAGCGCAACAACCCAGAAGACAGAAATCTTCATACTCATCGCCCTGATGACGGAGGCAGTATGACCTCTGAAACGTTGGTTAACATCGACACAGCGCAACAACCCAGAAGACAGAAATCTTCATACTCATCGCCCTGATGACGGAGGCAGTATGACCTCTGAAACGTTGGTTAACATCGACACAGCGCAACAACCCAGAAGACAGAAATCTTCATACTCATCGCCCTGATGACGGAGGCAGTATGACCTCTGAAACGTTGGTTAACATCGACACAGCGCAACAACCCAGAAGACAGAAATCTTCATACTCATCGCCCTGATGACGGAGGCAGTATGACCTCTGAAACGTTGGTTAACATCGACACAGCGCAACAACCCAGAAGACAGAAATCTTCGGGAATTTTATCCATTGCATCATTTTTTCAGACTCAGAAACATCCTGAATATACTGGACCAAGACTTGGGCCCAAAATGGCCGACGAAAACAAAAGAGCGTTTACAGAGGAGCAGCTGCGAGCTTCCGAAGGCGAAGTTAATCTGCAGATGGGGTTCAACAAGGGAGCTTCTCAGTCCGGACATGGCGGCTTCGGGAACACAAGACACATGTAAACTGCAGAGACACAGGACCGAAGAATGACTTCCGAGCGCGGAGCAAATTGCACACAAATTATAATGTTAGTTAGCATCTTTCACATGAACAAATATCCTAATGCTAATTTAACAATTTACAATATGGACACCAAGTAAAATTTTTTTACAAACTTGAGATTGAAATAGAATAAAGCCATTATTATTCTTAAGTAGCTCAAAAATTGTACTAGTGGCTGAAATAAAATTCAGAAAGATGAAAACTCCATGGGGTTGAATTTTACTTTAAAAGCTGATGGTTATTCAGAAGATCAAGAAATTATTTATTCTTATGGATCCGCTATGCCCATAAAATCTATCCATTGGACTTTCTCCTGAATCAGTTTAATTCAGTTCTCAGTTTACTTCTGCAAGAACCGTATTCATACAGAGGCGAAACTAACCACTTTTGTGGCTAGAGTTAACTCCTAGCTCGTGTCTTATCCCATCATCCGATTTGTAAGACCAAGAAGAAAAAGACAAATATTGACAGCCTCAGTTTACTTCTGCAAGAACCGTATTAATGCTACCTATCAATCCGTCTAAGGTAGGTTTAAACATCCACCGCTTCACTTCAGTTTGCACTCTGCCAAAATTGTGAATGCATTTATCTTCTTGAAGGGCTTCACGGCAACATACTCGAAAACGCGGGATTAAAAAAAAGTATCATCGTTTAAGTAACTATCAGATCAGAACCATAACTTATAAAGTCTTAGGTATTACTAAGCTAACCCTAGTCTAGTTAGATTTCACACACAAAAGGAACGTGTCAGGTGACTCATTTCTGTCTAGTTCCCTCAAATTGCTTAAGTCTTCCAACATTATGTAAATTCCCAAGTAAAGCTACAATTACTTTCGAAATTGTTATATTGACTGACAGCCTTCTGAGGTGACATTCTCCAGTTGCGTGGAAAATTGCGATCACAGCTGAACGAAATGAGCAGTAAAGCGCAGAGGCGAAACTAACCACTTTTGTGGCTAGAGTTAACTCCTAGCTCGTGTCTTATCCCATCATCTAATTTGTAAGACCAAGAAGAAGAATAAAATGTTGACAGTAAATTATATAAAACCACTGGTTACTTAATCAACAAACAACTAATTTGAATAATTATTACTATAAACTTTTTCGTAGTTTACATTTCCTTTCATTCCGACAACAATAACATTTAATTATATGCTCCTAAGGCAGTTGCCATACCTTAAATCCGCCACTGAACACACATTACCGAGTTTGACACTCACTCAGCTATTAGTTGAGATTTTTACTCTGGAAGGTTTGAATAAAATGGCGAGTTACAGGCAGATTTTAATCGTACATTATATTTTCTAGTAAAATTATCTGTGCTTCTATATAAAATTGAAAGAATAGTGATAAAGTTTTAGATCAAATTAATTAAAACGTATACTTATACGAATACCTTTCAATCAAGAGAATTCGGGTACAGGCAACTCTCGGTTTACGAACGTCACAATTCATTCAAAATTTCTTAAAGTCGCCAATAGGTACAGTTCCTTATAGAACGAAATGCCAAAACGTTTAGTGAACATAATTGTAAGATTTAAATTAATAAACTTTTAAAAAATGTATTTATTAAAATAATTATCAGAAAATTATTATTAGATAATTATACTGAAATGTTCTTTGTTAATAAAACTAATCTGGCCAGCAAAAGACGTTGGTTTACATGTCACGCCTCGTAGAATGTTTTCTCGTGGGAAAGAAATATAAAACTCCTGTTTTAATGAGTAGAATAGTAAAATATAGAAGTTTTCTGTTGCACGAGGTGGAAAAACTCTTAATTTTGTAGATTGAGAGAAATACACACGCATCGTATTAATAATTCAGGAGAAGGCCAGGAGTTTATTTGAAGATTTGAAGAAAAGAGTTGGACCCGAATATGCAAATGACTGTTTTTCAGCTAGCTCTGGGTGGTTTTCGAATTTTAAAAGGAGAGCGAACTTGCACAATTTAAGACTTCAGGGAGAATTGGCGAGTGCAGATACTCAAAGCTAAATATTTATGTTTGTAATTGAAATTAACAAGTACGATATCTTGTAATTCTTAAAATTTCGAGTTAATTTGATAAATGAAATATAAGCAATCTTCAACTGTATTTACACATTTAAATGCGAACTTCAAATCCCTGTGTTAAACTCTGGAGCAAAATTAATTGTACATTTGCATTAACTGAATCTAAAGACAGATATACACGTTTTCTCTATTGTCTGGATCCTTTAACAAATTTCAGAGTTTATCAGGCGACAGTGTAATAAATGTTCAATTTCAATGGAGCTTTCAATTTCTAGAACTTTTTTATTCTTTAAACAGAAAAGATAGGATTATAACATACCATCGTTTTTCGAATTAAGAAACAAAAATAGTGCATTACCATAAATATTACTGTACGATACTATTATTACTATTTTATGCTTCAATTGTTTGAGGTGGACTTTTCTAGAGATGACATTGTGTAACTTACTGTTTTTGTAAATGTTTGTTTAATACTGAAACTTATTTTCTTTACTTCAAATGGTTTTGTAATATTGAATACTGCGTAACATTTTTGTCTAATAATTTAATTAAAGTATTTATCCGAATTACGAGTAATGCCAGATACAGCTTTCTTTTACAGTTGTTCACTAAATGAAGTAACACGTCGATCTCTGTCTACACCGCAGATGAAACGACTGACTATGATTAATCCTTGATAGTATTCGAGTCGTCCAATGCCTTACTTAAAACAAATATATTATCAAATATCTGTCAATGGGAGAGAAATTTTGATTTTGAACTAAAAAATGTAAACGTATTTGTACATTTTAAAAATATATTGTAATGTTCCGTTTGTCTATTATAGAACCTGCTGTCTTTTTTTACAGTAGTAACTAACCAACAAAATTTTCAGGGCATGGAAGAATTTAACATGTACGGGCAGTTTAATAAAGTTTCGTGATAATATGACAGGCTTAGGATTAAACAACCAGCGTCAAATTCCAGCTGAGGAACGGATTTTTATTTTCACTGCTCCATACAAACAGATTTGAATCCACTTATCGTCTTATCTAATTTGGTTTGTGATATTCAAGGAAATAATCGTTGTTTGGTCTGAAAATCAGACGAAATTCATAATATCTACATTGTGTGGGCAAAATGTAGAATTACTGAATGTTAAAGAAGGTATTATACAGAGTGATTCAAAAGGTTATAGCCAAACCGAAGGAGCGTATAGAGGGACTCGGAGAGAACAACTTTCGAATAGAAATCCATGTCCTCCGAAGTTATCCTGAGTCAGTCGGGACCATCGAAGGTAGCGAAGTCCGATAACAAACCGCTGAAATAATCGTACTTTGCTATTCTCCTACTAGCTTAATTTTGTTTTATATTAATGTAAGGATTACATTAGCAATCTTACAAACCAAATTATTGCATTTTAACTATCCTGGCATTGAACCCAGTACTCCACACGCGTCTAACAGCCGGAGATGTGGTAAAACCCATAGACTAATGAGGTTGTAGGCTGTATAACTTAAACCCGTACGATCCGTACCTTTAAATGACTTCAGGAAAAATTAAATCCGATGTCTGGCCAACAAAGCCAGACGAGTATGAGGCTTCAATTGGTCCAGAGCTGAAAATTGTAGGGCACATATCTGAATAGATGCCGACTGTCAATGCGGGGAAGACAGAGTCGGGTTCGTCACGTAGCATCGAAATAGCTGGTTCTGAAGGAACTGTGGGTGAAAGATGTCTTGGGTCGCGTCAGGTTTTCGTGGCTTGAAATAAAGTGTAGGAAGAAGCCGTGGTTCTCAGAAGACGTGTGAAAGCTAATCTTGGAGTCAGGCTGTAAGGGGGGCGAGATAGCTCACACCAGCAGACGTAGGTGGAACACAGGCATGCTACCATATCTCTGGGGGGCTCCACAAGGATGTCGGTATTCACTTGCGAGTGATGGAGGAGGCCATGCTGCGAGTATACTGAATAGGCAATTGGTGACAGCCGAAAAGTGGCGGAACCTCGGGTGGGAGCCAACAAATATTCACCTTAAAAATTTAGCATGCTACAAAAATGTTACAAAGTGCCGAAAAGTTGCTGTGAAGTGTGGGGCTTCATGCCTTGAACTTTTCGCCACTATGCAAAGACTTTCAATTTTGTCACATTTAAATGATGCTAAAGTGCCAAGATTCCCACACACAAGATGAGTGTGTTTGTTCTAAAATAAAGATAAATGGGCAGAAGTCAGTGGATTGACGTCATCTCGTTACAGATAGGGGAAATACATAGAGACAGGAACAGAAGGAGAATAAGAGAGAGGAAGACAAGAAGAATGGAACATTAAATTGAGAATATAAAATAAATACTAAATTTTCAGACTGCCTGTTCGTCAGTCGTCACTTGTACTTAAAGATGTAGGCGTGAATAAAATCTTTCTGCCACTAAGGCCGTGTGGAAGCTATTGAACTGTCAGAAATTTCTTACTCGATGCACAGACAGATGAAGAGCTAACTGGCGCCAGTCCATCCGTTGATACGCGCTAAAAAAAGAACGGTCTCAATTTATGAACAGTTTCTAAGTGCAATGTAAAAATCTATAAATGACCGACTGAAGTGAAACATGACCGGAAGTGGAATTTCGCCATTATTCCGTAAACCGAATCTGGAGGCGAGTTATTTTTACTCGCGGCTGCACACACATGTGCGAGAACACGCTGGTTATATCGGGATTCCACGGGACCATCCACGCCCCTCCCTCAACCTCATTTCCGTCGGATCCTGCGAGGGGAAATGCTCAAGAGAAAATACTCAGAATCGCATTAAATATCATAAAACAAAGGCGTGCTCTAGTGAGCAATGGATAATGTAAAACGTCACATTAAACCAAAAAACTGTCGCATTCGCCAATTTATAATAACCTTCAAAGTAATTTGGGGTTACGTAACATTTGGAGTTGGAACAGCGTTGTTATATAAACATCCATCCTTTAAAGATTTATTGCAAATTATAAACACCTACTTTCCTCGACAATATTTGTTGAAGAGTAGGCCTACAAATTATGAAGTTCCTCATCATGTAATTTTCTAAGTATTGTTACTTTCCCACCTTAAGACTGAACATTCTCCCTGCCAACATATTCCCAAATACCCTCAAACTATGCAATTATATGTGAACAAACGATAAGCATCACGATACGCTACAACTGCGTTGGATATTCTCTGATGTTTCTGGCATATTTAATTTAAAGGACGTTTCGGGATTTGGCTCTCCTCCATCTTCAGATGACTGGTTGTCATGTTGACATGTTTGTTGCTGTTTTATTTTAGACAGGGACCTGTAATGACTCAGCCGTTGTCACAAAACTTTTAGAAAATATGAATGAGTAATGCGAAGTAACGTCAGAAAAATTCGAAACTTGGCATCTCATGCCATTTCACAACTAGAATTAGGCAACTTAGTCATTTAGTCAAGATGTAACGATTTTTTCGGGGCTAATTATAGATTTTAACTATGACGTGCAGATTGCGTAAAGCTGCAAATATTTCAGAAACCATACATTGGTCTTTCGACAGCTGTACATATTGCTTTTAAACTTTAACGCATTATAAAGTTGAATAAACTCACATTTGGCTACAGAGGATGGTTAACACTTTTAAGAAATGTGGGCGATAATCATGAAGAGACAAAATATTGTAGCAGTTTCATGGAGCAGAGAGTACCTGAGAAGAATCTTATAATAGCTCATAGAATCGAGAAAAATTCAATGTTGTTCATGGAAATTAAATCTTTATTGCAGTGTTAACAACAGAACCGATTCCTGTAATTGAAACATAAAGTCGTGTATAGCAAACTCTGAAGCTGAACGTATCAGAAACTGAAATCTGTCCTCTTCTGTGCATCACGAAATATGAATTAAAAACTTAATTAAATAGTTTATACACGCATTCATGTATTTTTCATATAGCCCTATATATGCATGGCGTGCATACGTACGAATGTGTAAGCCTACCCAACACTTGTCCTCGTTATGAGCCAATTCAACGCAGTCTCCACAACCAAAATCAGTTTTCTCAAAAGACCCACCTTAACGTGGTCCTCCCGTCTACACCCTGGTTTCGTATTGACGCTCTAAAATTAGTCCTGTCTAGAACGGTTTAGTCAGATCAATTTTTGGAACGTGACAGCATCGAAGAACATTCCTTTTCTCAAATGTGGACTCACGAATGACTTGCGCTTCATGTAAATATCCCTTGACACAAGTTAAGAACAAACGGAAGAGAGAATTACATATTTATTTGTATACAGACTAACGCTTATTGTTTTAGACACACTACAAACTTTAAACAGTGGTTCTCTGCTCACATCGAAAGTAACGAAGGCTTGATTAAACTTTATCAGGGATCACAGTTTTCTCAAAAACTGGTATGACACCCCATGGGGATAGCGAATGAAATTCAATGCCTTAATGTTGTTCTTTAAAATGAATACCAATTTCTACTTAAAAGTATTTAAAATCAATATTTAATTACGTGTTTAAAACAAATTCGTGTTTTAAGAAAGTTGCTTTCCTCTCTATAATCAGTTACCCACTTGCCCGATTTTACATTTTTCTATCTGAGGTCAATTTAACGAAATGTCATGAACACGACCTGATGTGACCGCGAGCTACGAGACGCTGAAGTATTTGAGGGAAGATTTCTGTCTTCTGGGTTGCGCTGTATAGTCTGGTAGATGTTTACCAACGTTTCAGAGGTCATACTGCCTCCGTCATCAGGAGGTACGTCATCTATTATCCCATCGATTTATGCATACTAAACCCAACACGAACATAACGTAAATCAAATCAAAGAAGAAAAATGAGTAGCAACAACACTTTAATCGAATTTGAACCTACTGCAAGAAATTAATAAACATATTCAAATTTAGAGTTGAGAAATGTGTGTTTCAGCTTCCGGCAATAAAATTGCAAGTATCTGTGCATAAAAATATAATCACTTAGAAACGTCTTGTGATCAGAAAGCGTGAAGTTATCACCGTATTACAAAGGTAGCCTGTGGTCCATCCAAAACGTCCCAATATTCCTAATAAAGTATAAAAGATAGATATATGCTTTCCCTGAGAGCCGCAAATTATAAATAAATTTTACATACACCAGTGAACGTATTTTAACCAAAATGGTACGGAAGATGACTACAAAACTTTGTTTTTGTTCTCATTTCCCGCATGCGGATTACACATACCGCCCGTCCAATTTCATGACACCAACATAACCGAGGAAGAGTACAAGTTGCGAGCTCCTTATTATGTAATGTTTTCTAATCTGTCCTTTCTGTTAGAGCCAAATGTCCATCTAGAAACCGCGTCCTGAAACAACCTCGTCTAGAGCTTCAATACTACGTACCTGCCACAATGGACGTCCTGGCATGTTGAAAATTCCGGGTGGCGTCTGTTGCTTGCTGCTAACTGTGACCGACTGATCCTCCGAGAGCTCTACGCAACGGCGTGGCGAGGTATCAAGAGGGGAAGCCGTGGATTTTAGGGCAACCCCGTTTTAGGTCGCCGTGTGTCATACAATTTTACAGATAATGTGATGTTGAAACTTTAACGTGACGCAGGGCATAAATTTGGCAACAAATCAGCGCCCACGTGGTTTTGACGGGCACGAGTACAAGTCTGAATTCGGGCCAGTTATTGAAACACACTTTCATGTATGATTGTCTCACGGACACTTTGGAGAATTCTCTTATAATAAGCCACTAC